TAAATTTTAAAACAAGAATATCACAGACTGGTCCACGATGCACGTAAAAATGAAAACAATGTCAAAAGAATGTCGCGATTACTATAGTGTGAATCTGTAAAGCTGGGATTGTCAACCAACCAAACAAAACTTAGATGAAATGTATTACTCTCAAAAATAATGATTTGACCAGGAATGAACCATTAAAACTATTATGTCTGTATTCATCACAGTATAGCACATAAATGGATACTGTAACTCGTGCGGCTGTCATGTATTGTTTGAGGTAGATTTCCTGCAAAACACGTTGTAATAGATGTCGTATATTTTTCGAAATAGCAATAACCTTATTGCTTTGGAGCCTCCATGTCAGGTCAGTGATAACTATCATAGTCTACAGATAGAATGACCTATGTCATGGAACATGACACAAGTGTCTACACACCTGTTAAAGGGACACTCATTATTTATTAAAGCAATATTTTGAAAACTTGTCATCTATTTTTTTTTAGAAATTCCATCTAACAAAATTGGTATGATGTTATTGTAAAATCTTGTTGGATGCATACATTATATGTTTGATAAAATACTGAAATGCGAGTTTTCAATCTCGTGTAGTTATATAGGCGAATCCATGACGCGTGTGCATTTGAAAGTCTCAGTATTTCATCAAAAGAGCACTGCTGGTATGTTTTCTGGCAAACAGGGATTTCATTTTATGCAGAATCAAGACTATATGTGCAAAATTGAAAGGAATTGTTTAATACAGCTATGTTTGCACCAAATTATTTAAACGCGATCAAAAATACTAAAACTGTATAAACATGACAAAAATGTATAAATCGAACAAAAAGTGCTATTGCGTTTTGAAAACAACTGTTCAAATTAAAACAGAACTCGTTTCACTCGTACATTTCTCAAATTCCTGTGCATCAGATATGGTATGTGATTTTCTGCTGGTTTTATTATTAAATCGTTTTAACCACGTGTGAATATTTTCTATCCAAGTGTAAGAACATTTAGAGTATTGCTCGTACATTTCAATAAATTTGGTATGATTTATAATAAAAATGAAGAGTACGTTTGTCAGTACCCATATCAGCGATAAATAGTGAACACACCACTATGAGTGTGCTAAGAACGTTTACGTATAAGAAAATCTAAGATAAATACGTTTTACACTATTTCATCTTGGTGACAATGTTTACATTTTACAATAAACCATACTGTTCTTACCAATATAAACCAACTGAATTATATAAACAATGCGCATTGTCTCTTTAAAATAAGTTTACCTTCATCCGGAATAGTGAGTGATCTACATAAACTTGAGTGGAGCCAAAAACATATAGTAAGTGATGAGTAAATATTTACATTTACAAACTAGTTGTCCATAAACCAAAAACACACGTCTCAATGGAATTTTCCGATTTCTGTTGACATCAGGCCAATGCGATGCATGTGACCAATGGGATTCGTGGGATTTTCCCGCATACGCTTCATATAATGCGTAGCAATATTACACACTGCCAGAACACCAACTTACAGCATCACATATCGAGCTGAATTCACAACGCGAGGACCATGTGTAATTGTTCTTACGATTTCTTTTGTGACAGTTTCTTTGGAGCTTGTCAGTCATGTCAGCTATGTCGAGATGGGTTACCAGACCAAAACTGTGTACAGTGTCCAGCAGAAACTGGTAAGCACTTACACGTGTACTAAGTCATTATTTAATTTGGAACTGTATTAGAAAACGTGAGCGCAACATTGAATGTCTGAAAATATCCCCGTAACTTGATAAACAACTATACAACTATAGATGCATAAGCGTTATGGTTCATTTTATGTCTATTGTCAATGTTCTATTATAATCAGAACTGAGTAATAATCAAAACAAGTTAGGTATTCGTCTGTGAAATAGCATGACTAGTTAACACCATTGTGACGTTTGCTACAAAGCCTGTGTTTGTGTTTGCTTTTACTTGAAACTTGTTTACCAACAACAATTTTAAACTAATGCATAATATTACATTAAAATAGTTTTTTTTATCACGAGAAAATGCAGACAATTTCTCTTGGACTGTATAAAATTCAATTGTCACTATGATATTTAGACTATAATGCATTCAAATAGTAATAAACATTACGCCAAAATATCGCCTTGTGCTGTGTTTTGAGCGAGCTTTCATATGGAAATATCAAAACATAAAAATAAAATTAAAATAAAATAAACAAAACAATGCATGCATGCATGACATAGAAATATCTCGTTCATAGCTATGCACAAAATTCCATCCATATATTTCAGAACTGACCAAATAATCACGTATTTCATCAACAATTAAGAAACGTAAAATTCAGGACACAGGTCCTTTATCTTGTAAAGTATTTGAACTGCAGGTCATCGGTTATCGACGGTAACACGCATGTTAAGTCTTTATCTCGCTGTATCATTTCTTTGTAGGAATGTAATTACATGTCATTGACTGTACTGTATATGACGTTACAAACACAATTAAATGTGCTGGCGTGGTTATTTCAATCTGCTATCAGTGAATTTGAATTTCAAATCTAATATACTTTAAATAAAGTGTGCGTTAAATTGTCTTTAGTACCAATGTCTAGCGCCACCCGACTTCAACATAAAATGAATGATTTACATTTGCCAAGTATAAAGGTCGTCATTCTGCAATAGAAAACATACATTATCTCTTACTAGTGGAACTTATAGAGGCACCAGTGAAGTACTATATTTTTCCTAGAATATTTTAAAGGTTTTGGTCCGTCTTTTATTTCGGTGTAGGCGTCAAGTTTACAAAGTCAAATGATGCCTTAGATTAGTTAATTCATTTAGGCACTAGGATTAATAGAGTAGTTTATTTTCTTCCAGATACTGGTATCGATATTAGGATTGTAATCGGTGCTGTTATTGGTTGTGTAGTTGTGATATCATCTATATTGTCTCTGATCTATTTTATACGAAAAAGATGTTGGAAGAGATCTACAGAAAACACAGAAGGTAAGAGCATACGACAATGACATCAAAAACAGTTTACTAAGTTCTCATTACAAGGCGTCAGTGATATTTCCGTATGGTACAATTACAATTAGCCTGTGTAATCATGAATTTCCAAAACTATTGGCATACATCTGATGTTTATGTAATTATACATCGAATAATAAAGCAAATCCATCATTATATATTGCCGTTGACTGAATGTAATATGGACAAAACCATAGCGGTATCTTGGTATCTCTGATTTGACTTTTCAAAAACTTGACGTCAAAAAAAGCATAATGGTATCAGTTGAAAGAATTGTCTTGACCAATATTTACTGTTCCTGACTGCACGAATATCATTCGGATGACTCATGAAGTGCATAAAGCTCGCACCATTTAAGTTTATCACCATATATCAATGTCACGCTTTACCCACAATCCTTTCTGGCGATCAAGATGGCGGACTACATAATACTGATGAAAATTTTAATTTCTAGAGAATGAAAAGTGATTTAAAAATCTGTTAATTGTATTTCGCTGTGGAGCTCCTTTACCTGGGAGCATTATGTTGTTTGGCTTTTCTTTCAAGTTCGAATGGCATTACTTTGTTCACAGACCCTGAAAATGGGAAAACATCAAGTTACGCAAATCCGATACAAGAAGCAGATGCAAGTCTTAATCTGTTCGAAGACCAGCTCGTTGCCGGAAACAATTCACCGGGACAAGAAAAACACCGAAGTGATAAACAATAGCAATCACACAAATACGACACATATAGTTAGTTAGGCAGGTTTTCAATAAAACGCACTATGTTTGTTGCACTTCAATAATATAGCGTCTGCTGGTCATTCAACAGCAGTGTGTATGCTTGTATTTTAGCAATAAAATATGTTTCTGGTGGGGTCTTCAGGGGAACTACAGGAGAAAATTGGTCTATATTATCCAACTATGGTGGCAAATATCTCCGTACAACAAAATGTAGCTTTGAATCAGCCATCTTCTAATTCATTTCTTTCATACAACAAAATCACGTTGGATTGGGTATAGTAGTTATACATTTTTTTAGATAACATTTTACATTTATGTGAAAACTAAATCTATAGTAAACATACTAATTTTCTCAACTGCAAGTTATGTATATGATTATATAATACAATATTTGCTTTTATGATCGAGCCTCAATGCGGCCTTAATTAATAGTTGTGTATATTCTAAACTGTATTTGAAATAAAATTGCAGTGGTTTAATTTTGTTTTAATTATAACTGTAGCATGGATAGGCATTTGAAGTGCTTGCAATTAAACACCATGAAGGCCATTCATGGAGAGGGGTAAATAGCGAACGAACATACGGGTACTTTTCAAAGCTATGACGTTTTAGTATCTGATCACATTCGTATACGCAATTGTACACATAGCCATTCATGCTGCCCGGCATTGCTTACTACTAGTATAAACTCAATTTTTATATGCACAATGTGCTTTTTAGAACATTATGCGTTTGAGCCACATACAGTGAAAGCCCAATTGCGTTAAAGTACCATACTTCCCCGATCACAAGTCCCTTTCCGAGTATAACCCCATCCTTCTATTTTTAAACATTTATCAAGTTGAGGGCATTCGCGATCATAAGCCCAGAGTGTGTTTACTGGGCGTCGACGATATTCTTTAAAATATGCTGTAAAAAGTGTGTTTCATTTCATAATATTCGTGATAGGTTTGTGCTTTTTTGAGAAAACTCGCATTATTTTCAGAGTGCATGGCGAACGTACACAACGTGGTTTCTACCCGTTCTATTCTGTCATTTACTCTGGATAAACCCCGATGTTGCAATATTGAAATAATCCATATTTCTTGTTAGCTGTAGCTTTCAAAGAGCCAAAAATGTGACCGTCAGGTCGTGTACCTGGTTATTGTTTTACTTTATTGTTTACTTTGAGACGATGTGACCTTTTGGCGACCGTGAAAGGTGTTTAAATACTTCCTTCACACTCAGTTTACCCACGGTTACTATTAACCGTAGTTTACCTTTCGGAAATTGTGAATCGGCAGTTTTTTAGGAAAAAAAACACTGTGTTTTTTTGTCGAAATCAGTGCTACAGATCGCATTTTAACATTGTGGTAATTCACTTCCACATTGCGTTAAACAAATCTTCGTCAATAATCGGAAAATTTCGTCATTACGACACAGCTTTTTAATGAACTGGTTAATGAAAAACATGACCTATTAGGTCAAAGGAAGATGTTTCAGGTCAGATCGTACTGAAAAACATGGTGAAAATTGCTTTGCGTCGAGAGTTTGCGGACAATCCCAATACGAAGATAATGATAAAGATCTTGCATTCGGCTGTTTCCCCACAGACCCTACCCATTATTACTCCGTAAATTAGACGATATGTAAATCGTATTGTAATAAAATGTTTTTTTTATGAACATATTGTTTCTTCATTGTAAAAGTGCCGTGGAAATCAATGACGCATTTTTTTTACAAAAAGAAGTATTATTTCCCCGAGCCCGGTGTGGTGAACGAAAAATGTAATTTGGATAATTTTTAGTGGTTGGCAAGATGGTTAGAATGTTAAACCCCAAAACAAAATCATCTTTTCTGAGGTGGTCCTCGAGTATGAGCTCATCCTTTACTTTTCCCAGTTTTACGTGTTTATGCCCTTTGGCTTATAATCAAGGATGCACGGTAGACTGTGCACTTAGCCACGATTAAGATCAATGCAGTGTGACCTACGGGAGTCGATGATGCCCCTTGTTCGATATTAGTTTTATTTCGAATTACGAGAAAGTCTGTGAATCTGCTTGGTGTTCCTTTGACAATTGACGCATTGATTTTCCAGTGCAGCCCAGTGAATACATGAACAGGGGCGGATCCAGCAAAATGTATTGGGGGAGTCCAGGCCTATAGGTCGAATACACCGACGGGACCGTGCGATTCGGACGATGCTATGCGTAATCCAGATGCATTTTCAAGCGTTTGGAGGGGGCCATGGCCCCCTTGCCCCCCACCTCTTGATCCGCCACTGTACGTGAACGAAAATGTTTCCACCACCACCCTACGAACTAAAGATTGCCTAATCCAGCATCCAGACTTTGAAATAATTTGCAAGCATCTAGCAGTACTGGAAATTAGGCTCTATTTAGTTCCCATTTAACTTATCTGATTATGCGGTTTTTATTCGACTAACAATATAATGCCCCAACCAATCACCTATGAAAATAGGTTTGTCTCGTACTTTCAAGTTATTCAGTGCTACCTGGCAATACTTTTACACGACTATCGTTCTGGGAAAATAGGCCATTCCCCTAATATCAAACAAATATAAAATATTATGTTATGAAAATCTTAGAACATTTATTTTGACATGTGTGTCACTAAATTTTCAAACTATAACGAATTCCTTGAGAGAATGAAATGCTTTCTACGTGTATATTACATTGTAAGTATTGTGTAGCCTTTTATAGTATAATGAACGTTATTTTTACATTGAATTATGTCATATATTGAGTGATGTACAAATGTGAATCCAAAAATATTCCCATTGCCAACATGTCTCCGAGTTCCATACCGGGTATTTGTCTTCAGCACAGAGGGCGTTTTCTACAGACATGCATATCACCTGACTCCTTAGAATACCGACGTTTGGCTTTGAACACTTATGGTAGCAGGGGCAGACGCATCACAGATTTTGCAAAATTATATCCTAGGTTGTATTTGTGTTGTATCTGTATGTAACACGGATATTTTCCGTCGTTCAGTTGGAAGGCCTTGAGTCTTATTTTAAAAGGTGTAACCGATTGAAATAAATAGCAATTAATGATTTCATACGATTAAGAGCTTAGGTTCTAACTTTTTAAAACGTACTGTGTTTCGTTCAAGACATTTTTTTCAATAGATTTCTTTTCTTTGACAATCTTTATAAAAATAATCAAAAGAAGGCGTTACATTTGTAAAGCGGCAGATATATAAAACATATTTATCTATTAAAATAAGATGGTTTAATAGTATACATTTTTGGGGAAATCCAAAGAGAATACGTTCACAACTTAGAACTATATCATCACTTCCTGGTATAGCCCCCCAATAGTTTTGAAATAATTTTCAAAACGAAACTGTGGTTGTACATTCCCAGAAGAGATGTTCAATTGTTTCTTTTTGTTCACAACATTTACAACAATTGTCCAGTCGGATTTTATTTTGGAAAAGATAATTGTTGGTTGCCAAAATTCGATGCAATATTTTGAACTGAAAGATTCGCAGTTTTTCTTCCATTGTGGTAACGAATGCCAATTTCCAGATACATCTCCAATCAATTGCATCACTCACATACACAGTTGCTTCATATTTGGACATGGATGTTGGCGTTTCAAAACATTTTTCAACTAATAACTTATAAAAATCTCTTGTTTTACTACCAACAACTGTATCATTTATTTTTATAGTTAAATTCGCATTGATATTTCCAGCAACTAATTTGGACTTCCATTAAACTGGAATTGCGTGCAGAATACATGTACCATTAAAAGTTACAAAATCTGTCTTAATTGTGTATTTCTCTATAAATTGTTCATATGACATAAAATTACCATCTGTATTTAATAAATGTTGTATGCACTTTACCCCATTATTTAGCCAGTGTAAATAACACACTGTTTTTCCACCAATTAAAATGTATCTATTATTCCACAGTATTTCTGATTTGACCTCATTTGAATTAACGGGTGGGCCATGACAGAATAGTTCATACCAAAAACTTAAAATGTCAGAATACAAAGCTGGTAAAGAAAAAATCATTTTGTCAGGATCATAATTACAGCTCAATAAAAATTTCAAGCCCTCATATCTACTAAAATAACTCCCCATGATGCATTTGTTCCCATTATCTTTTATAGCCCAAGCTAATTTTAATACTTTGTTTAACAACTCCAAATCAGTCATGCGCAAACCACCATATTCAATATCCCCAATAAAAGTGTTGTTTTTATATGGTGTCTTTTTCCGTTCCACAGAAAATCAAATAACCTAGCCCGGGCTTTGGACACACATTTTGGCGGAATAGAAATGGAGTTCATTACAAAGAGCAGATTAGTAGACCCAAAAACCTTTGCAAGTGTAACTCTGCCACCAATAGTCAAGACACGTGACTTCCATATGCCAAGTTTATATTATTTTTTTCAATTTTTTGGTGGAAGTTAAGCTCAAAATTTTTCTTAACATCATGACCTATATAAATTACCAAGTAACGGATTGGTGTTTGGGTGGGGGCTATTATATCCATCTTTTGCCAATTATGTTTAAGTTTACCCAACACAAGTAGTTCTGTTTTACCCATATTGATTTCTAGACCAGAAAAATCAGGAAACTGTTTTAGAATGGATAGAGCAGTGCGAACAGAATTATGTCAGTTGTATCATCTGCAAAGCCAGATATTTTTTGTTCATGCTCATATGGCAACATAATACCATCTATT